GGTTGCTGATTTGACTTTCTGCCACATTTACACACAATTGCAGGGTTTCAATTGTTTCTCTTACTTTGAGAACACAACATACATACGTATATCATTTCTCACTATTGATCTTTTTAAAATTTTTGTATTTCTTTATGGTCCTTTATTATATTATCATCATCATCAGTGTTGTTGTTGTTATTATTTAATTTTTTATTTTTAAAATTTTATAAATTTTATTTACTATTAACTAATTAATATTATTATTGTTATTATTCTTACATTTTCTCCTCCAGGCCCTGATGTGGGTCATTGACCTGTGCCCAGGTGGGCTAATCCCCGTAAAAAAAAATCATTCAAATCCTCCCCCCCCCTTTACCAGCAAGGGTTTGGTGGTTGTAGGCTTACAGTTTTTATCTTATATAATATCACAGACTAAAGTTAGGAGAATATAATTTGCATTGCTAGAATCCTTGCAAGACAGCGAATAATTAATAATAATTATATGACGTTTATATTCAAATTACAGTGGGGTATGCTATAACGAACGGATCCTACTACGAATATTCCTATAACGAACGGTTTTACCTATAAAATTGAGAATGCTATAACGAACGCAACTCCTACAACGAACGCGGATGAATACGGGACTATTTCGCCTGGCGCATGAATATTGTTGTACCGCGACCCACAACAAGAGCGTCAGGCGCCATCTTTGTCTCATTGTGTAGCCAGTGCACCACTGTTATTGTTGAAATTTCGTCTTTTGATGTGGAAATTCGCGTTATTTGTATAACTATTTTGTTATACAAGTATACAATTGTAACAATGAGTCATCCAAAGCGAGTGAGAAAGCTAATAACCCTTGAAACTAAGAAAGAAATTGTAAAGAAACGTGAGAATGGAAGAAGCATTGCGAAACTTAGTGATGAATATGGGATGGCTAAATCGACTATATGTACGATTTTGAAGAATAAAGAGGAGTTAAAAACTGTGCAAGTGGCTAAGGGAATCTTTAGACTTAGCAAAGCAAAGTGTAATGTGATTGAAGAGATGGAAAATTTACTCTTAGTGTGGATAAAGGAGAAAGAAATGGCAGGTGGTAACATTAGTGAAGCTATAATTTGTGAGAAGGCTAAACAATTGTTTGAGGACCTTAAAGCCAAGACTCCCAGTGGAAGTGATAGTGATGTGCCAGTGTTTAGGGGTACCTGCATGCTGAATAACACTAAGGTAAGATAAAGTACCGTATTTTTTACATTTTCCACAGAATTTTTTCAGTGTTAAGTGGTTGTATTTGGGGGCCTGGAACGGATTAATCCTATAACGAACGAATGCTATAACGAACGAGGTTCTGGAACCAATTACGTTCGTTATAGCATACCCCACTGTACATATAATTTGAAAATACAGGTAAATGTCATATATTTTGCACGAGATAAAAATTCTAGCCCTTTGTAATAAAATTAATTAGATCATGCCAGTTCAGTGACATTTTATAAGAGAAAAACTTAGTCACTCTTAAGGAAAGATAAATAAAAAACAATAGACCTTGGCATCAACTGTAAAACATTTCCCATCCCATAATTTTAGCTGTGTTGATTTATGAGTGTTTTGTTTTATTCTAGGAGATGGGCTGAGGTGTATCTGAGTAGACTCTCAGTCTTTTTAGTATTTTGTGTTTCTCTAAAGTACCAAACTAATTTATTCCATTCAAACCACTTAGATTTAGTGCAAATTCTGTTTAAAGCGACCTCTCTTGAAACGTATCTCGTGTTATATTGATGTTATACTGTATATGTGTATACAGCCCCCGCCTTCCTAAAAAAACAAATTCGCAGGGGTTAGGTTCTCAAAATGGCTGTGAATTGCCAAATCCGCAAATAACATTTTTTGACGTGTGGGGGGGGGGGGTTACATTTTTACTTATGAGAATTGTACCCTTGTATATTCCCTTTATGTGTTTGCCCTTAGGACAATTATTTCTTTTACCTGTATTGTATATATGTGTGTGTGTATCAGGTGTATTGTTACCCTCTTGCTTCACCTACATCTATTGAGGATAAAATCTTTCACGTACAAATTGACAATAACACATTTGCTGGATGAAAATGGATGGAGGTAACAAAACTTGAAAGCGGTTGTACAAACACAAGCACTCACACGTGCCACTCTTACTGACAGACTCGACACTCACTTACTTTACAAGTTTTACCAACCATAAAGACAGTTGAAGCTTTCAACATCACTCACAATGAATCTTGAATGTTCCAACTGTAATCAGACATATCTAAGTTGCCTCAACAATTGCAACCCCAGTTGCCATTTCAAATTCTGTGTCATTACTAAGGAATAACGAAGTCTCGGGTGCACTCTAAGGTTGAGAGAAAACGGAGGACTCGGGCGTCCTGAAGTGATGAGAAAACGGACTCCTCAGACGGGGGACTCAAATAAAGAAAGCATAGCTTCATGTTTTGTGGACTACAGTATTGAGCGTACCCTTTTCATCACTTTTTAATAAACCTATCCATGCCTGTGTGTGTTTCTGATACTTACCATAACATTATCTATATCTTTAGTGGGTCTAAGTGGTCATAAAAATGGGAAAATTGGGGTTGGGTCTTGGGTGCCTGGAACTAATTAGAATAAATCCCTTAGGTTCTTTACTTTCGTTATCGCGTTTTTTGTATCACGCACTCGGCTCGGTCCCAATTAGGTGTGATAACCAAGGGATGACTGTAGTTTACTTCTATTAACAAATACTCAGGATGATCATGCACTAAAAGTCAACCTTATACAGTACAGCACCTATATCACACACCAATACTGTACTATACAGTCAGTCCTCGACTTAGGACGGGGTTAGGGACCGACAACCAGGTCGTAAGTCGAATTGGTCGTAAGTCGAAAATGTGAAAATACTACTTAGAAAATCTAAAATGGGTGTCTCTTTTTCTTCCCAGCACCACGAGAACTCTCATTTTTAAGCTTGCCAGCCATTTTAAAGGGAATTACAAATGAAAATTTTGTCAGTACACTACGCAGCACGATCACTAACGTCGGGACTCGAAAATATGTAATTTGAAAAATATTTTATATGACTGTGGCGGTCGTATGTTCGGGTGGTCGTAAGTCGAGGAGTATATCAGAATTAAAACAACAGTGAATAATGATTAGAAAGAATATCACCAATCTCCTGCTCATGTTGATGTTAGGAATGAGTCACCGGCATATGTCTGTGTCCCATTTCACCTTTTGACCCTGCTGTCAGTGACGCCAACCTTAGTAACAAGTCATCAAACTCTCAGTAACTACCACACTGGCTCATCTGTAGTTGTACCTATTGTCGTGCATTGGCAATTATTGTTAAGCAACTCTCAATATCCATAATAATATGAACCATGTCCATCACATTCCTAACATTATCAGTATACAGTGTGGGGGTTTCGTGATTCATGCTTCCTCTCTCCACCCCTCATACACACTAAATGGTGCGACATCTGTTGGGCCATCAAGGCACTTACTTCAGCTGCTTCACTGATTCAACCTCAGGTGATTCAGACTCAATGTGGCTGGCTACTTGAAGGGACTTTTGTGCATGATAGTACAAGTAGTGCTGTAATATCATCACTGGGCATGGATCGAGTTATCTCTTGTTCCATTCTTATTCAGCCGTTATTGTTTTGGGAGTTTAATATTGTAAATTTCATTTTTGTGTTGTGCTGGGTTACCTGACACTAAAATTGTGGAGTTGTAATAACCCAAATATTTGTAAATAAAATGTTTATATTGTATATGTAAGTGTGCAGGAATCATCATTTTCCAAACATCATTTTATTACATTACACATTACTCACCAACCCTCATTAGTCTGGCACCCATCCCAGGCCTTGGCCTAACCAATCAAGAGGGGCTGGGTTTTGACCTTGATATCAGACAATTTATCAATACACCTAGACCCCGACTTACGACGGGGTTATGGACCCAAATCCAGGTCGTAAGTCCGACATGGTCGTAAGTCCGACATAGATAAAAAAAAAAAATTTTCTTTTAATAAAAAATCTACAATGAAATACAGTACAGTAAAAGTAATGAATAATGATGAATGGATACAGTACAGTGAAAGTAATAAATAATAAGGAATGGATACAGTGTGACTGACCACTTAACCTTTAATGTAGTCAGCTGAATGCACATGGGGCCCCCATAATTTTCTAATTATACATGGAGACTACATTAACTGGAAACGTTTCGGTATAGAAAATGCGTGTTATTTAAAAATTTTTTTTTTTTTTTTTTTTTTTTATATCTATATCCGAGGCGGTCGTAAGTCCCGACGGTCGTAAGTCCACGTAGTCGTAAGTCGGGGTCTAGGTGTATATTGAGGCCACCATCAGACAGTTAACAAATATGAAGCAAGCTTAATAAACATGCATTTTATTATTTCTCAACTTTCCCATTTTATTTCTTAGTGAAAGCTTTTCTTCCTTGAATTTTAGTAATGTGGCCCACTAAATCATTCTACCAAGTCTGCAACACATACTGTAGTAGTCAGGCAAGCCACATTTGTCCAGGTGTTTTTGTTGAGGGATTTATACAGCCAATATTATGAAGCAACACATTGGTGGCCATGGTAAAGGTTGAGGCCTACTTTGCTGCATGTCCACAGTTTTTTGTGTAGATACTGTACAAATTAGTGATTATTTCTTGCCCTTTTAGATGAAGTATTAAATTTTTATGCTTCCTTCCTCTTTACTGGTCTTACTTATCTTCCTCTTTTAGCAGTTTCATCCTTCCTCTTATCTGGTCTTACTCAACTTCCTCTTTTAGCAGAGTTTCAAAGATGTTTGTCAATCACCATTACTGTCACTTCACTACCAGTGTTAAAAATTTATGTAAAGAGGTGAGCATTTAGAGACTTGTACACGAATTTCAGTATTTTCCTTTCCAGTGTTTAGGACAAATTTTTTCCTTGTATTGTAGTATAGTATTTCCCTTAAGAAGGCACTTAATGATTGCAGATGTCTTATGGCTGGGATCAACAGCAGCAGCCACATGGAAATGGTTGGGGAGACCAAGGAAGCTATTCATATGACATGGGCTCTTCAGATTTTGGACAAGAGCAACAGTTTCAAAATTTTGAGTATAACAGTCAATCAAGTCAGGGAGGACCTCCCCCTACCACATCATATAGCAGTGAAGGGAGTCAACAACCAGCATTTTTCACACCAGGACCTTCCATCATGACCCCAGGCATAAGTCCTATGTCCCCTGTGCCAGATAATTATTCCCTAGAAGATGAACCACCACTGTTGGAGGAGCTAGGCATCAATCCTGATGCTATTGTGCAGAAAACTCTAACAGTTCTTAACCCAATGCGTCGAACAGATCCCACCATACTGCAAGATACAGACTTGGCCGGACCCTTGGCATTTTGTCTAGCGTTTGGCAGCTTTCTTTTGCTCTCGGGTAAAGCCCAATTTGGGTACATCTATGGCATTGGCATGTTAGGATGTGCCTCTATGTATGGACTATTGAACATGATGTCCATGCCAGGTGTGAGCTTGGGTGTAGTAGTAAGTATATTGGGCTATTGTTTGTTACCCATGGTGGCTCTAGCTGGTGTGAATGTTTTGTTGTCACTTCAAGGACCTATTGGCATAATTCTCACAGGTATGGCTATTCTTTGGTGTTCCATCTCAGCATCTAAATTGTTTGTGACAGGCTTGGCTATGGACCACCAGCAGCCTTTAGTTGCCTATCCATGTGCACTTTTGTATGCTGTATTTGCTCTTATAACCATATTCTGAGATAATATATACAATACTAGTCTGAAATAATCAATAGCAACAACCATGTTTTTTGTGAGAGTAACCCAACTTTTTATCCAGATGAGATTAGGTGATTATTGACTCTTGTTTAGATGTTGCTTGTTGAGTGAATGATAATATTCCAAAGGTGTGAACCCTTACATTTCTTTTATATATTTATTTACCTTTGCTAAGTAAAATATTATGAATGCAAACGGATGCTCACATACTGTACTATGGCTCAATATACTGTAATTACTTCTCTCATTCCTTGCTTTCTTTTCATATTTAATAACTTTAGTGTATAATTGGTGTCACATGCTTATGGTTTCATCCGACAGTTAAGACAATGTTACTCTTTATGTAATTAATGTAATACGTAGCTGAAGTGTAAGATTCCGTGTGTTTGCTTATTTTACAACTGGACTTAATGTTAGAATTTAGTCTGTAATGATATCTGTCACAAACACTCTTCTTCTTTTTTTTGGGGTGAAGAATTATTAACCGAGTCACCGGAGTGCAAGTAACTAAGACCACAGGGAATGAAAAGTTTATATTTTCACTGGTTTAGTGTGTACTGTATGGTGAGTGGCATCTTAACATTGTCAGAAACTTGTATTGTTTAATCAAGTCCCTGTGAGACAATACTGTATAGTAAGTATTGTACTGTTTAATACACTAATTTGGCATAGTTAGGTTGCATTCTTATACTTCTTGAAATGATCGAGCTACCATACAAAAAATATATTCTTTATAATAAAGTTGTGTAAATCAGATACCCTTTTATTTATTTTTCACCAGATGACTGGTAGACGGGCCCAGATTAACCTTCAAGATTGGGGCCCAACTGGTATGAGCCCGAATCCTATTTGTTAGGCGAGATGGTTTGAAATGTTGATGAAAGAAAAAGACAACTTAATAAGTCTATAAAGCTAATTGTAAATTTTCATTAGTTTTTGATGTAGAAACAAAGGATTGGTGAAGGATACACAATAATCTTGGGCAGGCAGCTGAAGGACCTAACACAAAGTGACATAATTACTAGTTATGTCTCAGTTTACTGCCACTCTATTGAGGGGCAACCACCTTCCTGTACACCTGTTTAAAACATTGATGAAAGATGTTAACTAGATTTTTAAATTTTGTGTGAGGCTTGAAATTAATTATCAGAAAATTTTATCTTTATAAAATAACTCTGCATTACAGGTTGTACCTCTCTAGTCTGGCAACCTCGGGACCTGACCAGTGCCTGACCATGGAAATTCACCCTTTTCCTGGATAGATAGTGACTTGTGCTTATGCTTGGAAGCACTAGCACCACTTTCTCTGCATCATGGTCTCTTTGAAGACATATTGAAGGGTTAAATGTCGTATAGTAGCTTCTCAAAATTCGCGAGTTTTCAATTCAACGTATTTTATTGGAACACACACGCACAAAAAAAATATATAAATTTTGACGGCGGAAACTTGAATTTCGACGGGTTTGAACGGCCCGCCAATGTGCAGACGACGTGCATAATCGTGTAAACAGCGTCATATCTCTTATGTACAAAAGATTCATTTTTGTTTATTACTAAATGTCTTTTTTATTGAATTAATGTTTTATGTGTGCAAAATGAGCAATACAATTCATTAATAATACGTAGAATATTAAAACACACGAGGAAATGACACAGCATTGTTTTCGTTGATTACAAAACCAGTGACTGACTGGTTCTACATATAAAACTGAAGAAAATAAGACCTTGGTTGTAGCTGTAGTAAAATTAATATGGTTGTTTTAAGTAATTTAGTGTTAATAAATGGAACAATAGAAGTAGCTAACGATAATGGTAAAGAAAAAAGAGATTGCGTATGTAAGTGCGCACACGTGAAAACATATCGTCATTACTCTACATAAGAATATGAAAGCAACACTTATTTATTGCTCATATATATTGAAGGGTTAAATGTTGTACTCTGTATAGACAAGCAGAGAGAGAGCAGCCGAACTGCAGGATGTAAACAAACCTTAATTTCCCGCGGCTTTGTTGTTGTTTTTTTTACGGGGATTAGCCCACCCGGGCATAGGTCACCGACCCACATTGGGGCCGGAGGGGCAAAAATTTAATACTCCTGTAATAATAATAATAATTCAGATAAGTAAAAAAAAAAAAAAAGCTGCCTATCTACCTATTGGACAAGCTAAAATCGTTCCGGACCACAGAATGCCGGACTAGAGAGGTTCAACCTGTACTAGATTCTATACAGTGCTTTGTGTGTAAAAAAAATTTGAATCATTACTGTAAGTCAGTGGAGTCTGCTGCACGATCCCCATCATGAATATGATTATACAGTACAGCACTATACACTCGGTAAAAAAAAAACTACCGTTACAATTCCTGTGAGAAACAAACTGACACTACAAACGAAGTTTCAAAATGGCCCCCGAGGCATTCCTCGCATTGGTATCCCTGCACGTGTATGGGTTCAGCCACACGTACTCAAAACAAGTGATCGGCACACTAACACAATTTGAAACTTAATGGGAACTCTATGCCTCCTTTCTCCATGTGGAATACACATTGTGAACGGTGTTGTAGCAGCCTAATATTGTGATTTACGTAATTAGTGCCACCAACATTTCCTGATATCTTGCATACAGAATGTGTATTTTATATGAACTATGGAGCTATTCAGATGTTTCGGAACAGCATGGTATATTTTCCAATATGAATAAAGAATGACATAATGTGGCATTAGCCCAAAGTGAAGTAGCAATACAAATACAGATTCGAAATTTGGTTGTAAAATAATCTTATACCTTAACTATATCCACTAATTCTGCCAAACATATAATGCATTCCTTTATGGCAACTCATCCATTTCCATGGTTACTGTAGTCTACGGTGTGTGGAACATTTACTGTAACATACAGTTTAACTTGTCTAGATATAATGACATTCTCCAGTCATATTGTAACAAAGTACCTAATTCAATATTGTCAATGAAATAGCTAATTTCGGCCGACCAAATTAAGTACAAAATGTCTCGTATGCAGGCTTACCAACCCTTGCGAGACAACGGGAATGTTCGGTTGGAAAATCATCGAATCCCACCTGTACGGTAGTTTTTTTTAACTAGTGTACATGTATTTTATACAAGAGTATGCTACTATGTATCGGTGTGCTGTGTCTTCATATCCAAGTTTGCTCAATAAAACCAATCTGACTGTTGATGTACCAGGCATGTACTGCACATCTATTTTTATGGGTGCACACCAAAAAAGTATAGTGCAGATTCTGTACACTTGTTGATGTAGGGACAGCAGAAAATATGTAATGCAATACAGGTTGTACCCCTCTAGTCCGGCATTCTGTGGTCCGGAACGATTTTACAGTAGAAGTCCAAAAATCCGGACTGCTTGGGGATTGGGTCGGTCCGGATTTTCAGATTTTCCGGATTCTCAGGCAGCACTTTTAAAATTCAAATTTAAGGAGGAATAAAGGAGAGATGAACAGGTACATTTTGATAGTTTATTCATTCGCAAATTTAGCATGCTTAATTTATCAAAACGAGCAGTTTTAATGAAAAAGCTGTGAATTCAAGAATTTTATTCTTTGCCTTTTTTATATCATAAATTGTAGACTTTCCAATGTCGTATGTTTCCATTAGAACGGTATTGCTCACACCACGTTCTAGTTTCTTAATTATTTCAAGTTTGTCACTCAATTTCAACGTTTTCTTCTTTCTCTTCACACAACGAAGTTTATCTACTTTAGGAGCCATTATTATGGGCTTGTACAGTACAGGCCTCTGTAAATGGAAAGAGTAGGACTCAAAATATTGTTATATTACAATGGTATTCTATTCATACTGTGCTTGATATAATGCATTCACGGAAATGTAATATTTTTGCTGAAATGACGTACGTATTACAGTGGAAAGTGGGATAAAATCGTGACGAAAACAATGACTTCAGCTTTCTTTCGTTCAAAAGATGTTACCGTAATCGCTTTTCGAATGGTTTAGTTAAAAAACTGTTGTATTACAATAATATTCCCTCCTAATTGACTTGAATAAATACTTGAATGGAAATATACAATATTTTTGTTGAAACTACCCGCGTTTCAGTGTAAAGTGTCGTAATAATAAATGGTAAACAATTTGCCTTCGGCACTCGTGTTTCAGGCACGGCGAGCCTCAGTTTATAGGACGTAGAGCGTTTTTACTGAAGGTTTTGTTGTTCCATTACCCTAAAAAACGTGGGTCGAACTATAAACGAGGAATATCATAAATTAACGATTTCTTGGTCAAAAAATCAGGGTCGACCTATAAACGAGGGGGGCTATAGACGAGTATATACGGATATGTTGTCACAGTTTGATTGCTCGTTTTAAAGTGGCGACCACGTGGTCGCTTGTTGTTGCTGTGCAGCTGTGGCACTCACCCATGCGCACATTCACAAATGCCCGCTAAAAAAAAAGAGTAGTTTTAAAAAAGTCCGGATTCTCGGGCGGTCCGGATTTTTGGACTTTAACTGTAGTTTGCCCATGGAGAAAATTAATTTGAGTCTGGTACTTTCGATGTTTGGCTAAATTTTGCCTTATTTATCCTACTTTTTTGGCGAATTACTGCCTGTAATAAAGCAACATCCTAATAAACCAACAAAAATAACACATATAAAATTAAATAAAAACTAAAAACAACACAGAAAAGTTCTTATGTTCTACACCTACAGCTAGAGTTGAGCACACGTCATACGAGTAAAAACTCACACAACAACATTGGCTGTCCTTATGTTTTCAACTTTACCACCACTGGTGGGTAGAATTTTTGTTTTAAATTCAGAAACATTAATTAAAACATATATGAACAGTAAATAAGTGTTGCTTTCATATTCTTAGGTATAGTAATGACGATATGTTTTCACATGTGCGCACTTACATACGTGAGCTCACTGTTTTCTTAACCATTAATGGTTAGCTACTGTACTTATATTGTTCCATTTATTAACATTAAATAACATTACTTAAAACAACCATATTAATTTTTTACATTAATTTTACAACAGCTACAACCAGGGTCTTATTTTCTTCAGTTTTTTATGTAGATCCAGTCAGTCACTGGTTTTGTAATCAATGAAAACAATACCGTCTCGTCTCATGTGTTTTAATATTCTTCATATTATTAATGAACTGTATTGTTCATTTTGCACACACAAAAATTAATTAAATTAAAAAAGACATTCAGTAATAAACAATAATGAATCTTTTGTACATAAGAGAAATGACGTTGTTCACACGATTTGTGCACGTCTGAACGTTGGCGGGCTGCTCAAACCCGTCGAAATCCGAGTTTCCGGAGTCAAAGTTTTAAATTGCCTAGTGTTTTTTTTTGTGTCCAAATAAAAAACTGAATTAAAAACTCCCAAAATTTGAGAACCTACTGTACAACATTTAACCCTTCAATATGTCTTCAAAGAGACCACGATGCAGAGAAAGTGGTGCTAGTGCTTCCAAGCATAAGTACAAGTCACTATCTATCCAGGAAAAGGGTGAATTTCCATGGTCCGGCACCGGTCAGGTCCTGAGGTTGCCGGACTAGAGAGGTACAACCTGTATCACATTTGGGTAAAACCCAAGATGCAAAATTTTGCTTTCTAGTTATTTTAAAAACGTCCACAACATGTTGTGGTCTTTTTTCGGTCTTTGAGCCTAAACTATTGTCTTGTGTATAAGCTGGGTTATGGGCACATATTGATAACATTAGTGTAAACTTTAAACACACACGAT